CCTTATTAAAACAGACACTTATTTTGTTCAGCGAATCCAAAAATGCAATAATATACAGGACATTCCATTTAAAAAAACGCAACTTTGATATCTTTAGAGATCAATATTTTTAAAATGTGCGCTCGGTAGGCGTCGGACAATTCATAAAATAATACTTTTTGAAAAACAAACGGTTTAGCCGCAAATTTCCGTGCCGTATAGCGTGAATAACCCTGTATATTATTTTTTACCATTGTTGACTGTACTGTATGTGCTTTATGTTGTATTTTGTTTTGTTTTTTTTACTCGCTGTCCAGAAAATGTGTGAATTTTTCCGTGGCAATAAAGCATATCTTCGCTGTCACTCAATTCGATGGTTTTTGCAGGTATAAATACACCAAAATGGAGCTGTCGCCTGAAAACACCTACTCTCTTACCATCCTGGCAACGGACAACGGAAAGCCGCCGATGTCTTCTGAATGCGCCGTTACTGTAAACGTCGTGGACGCCAACAATAACGCTCCGCAGTTTGAGCAACGCGATTTTCTCGTTCCGGTGCCCGAAGACGCCCCTCCAGGCCAGAAGCTGCTGCAACTAGTGGCTAAGGATGAGTTCGATGTTGGCGTCAATGCAGAAGTGGAGTACTCGATCGCGTCAGGCAACAGTTCCGGCAAGTTCACGGTGGACCGGGTGGACGGCTGGATTACCTTAAAGGAAAAGGTAAGTGATTTCCCACCGAGTTATTTGCGAATTATGTCAGGCAGTCACGTGCTTGTTTCAGGTGCGTGGCGCTGGTCAAGTCTACACAATGCGAGTGCGCGCCATGGACAAGGGCATACCTCCTCAAGCGGACACAGTGTCAGTGACCATGGTAGTGACCGGCGACAACCAATTCGCGCCCGTTTTCAACTCTCTGAGCTACCAGGTGATAGTGCCGGAAAACGAGCCACTAGGCACTGTCATTCTACACATCAACGCAACAGACGAGGATTCCGGTCCGAACGGGCTTCTGCGCTACGAAATAGCGGCAGGCAACAACCGAGCGGACTTCGGGATAGATGAAGTGACTGGGGCGGTCTCAATATTGCGCCCTCTGGACTTTGACACAATCAACAGATACGAGTTGAGCGTAGTGGCGCGGGATTTAGGATTCGCATCAAAGCGTGCGAGTGCCGTGCTAGTGATCACATTGACAGATGTCAACGACAACAGTCCGGAGTTCGAGCGAGTGGTTTACGAGGCCTTTTTGAAGGAAAATCGACCGGAAGGCGAGCTTCTGTGCCAGGTGGTTGCCAAAGATCGCGACTCACCGAGAAACGCCATAATTGTCTACTCCATCGCTGAAGGTACGTTCTTGATAATCTTGTCGGAATACATCGGAAGCCATACTTAACTTTATTTCGCGTTTCGGTAGGTCCAGACAAGGACTTCTTTTTCATTGACGCAAAGTCCGGCAAAATAACGTCCAAACTGTCGTTCGACTATGAGGAGAAGAGCGAATACTCACTGAAGATTGTGGCAGCCAATCCAGATTCGCCGATGTTTGGCGAGACTCACGTCAACGTCCACATCGTAGGCGTGAACGAGTTTTACCCAAAGTTCGTCCAGTCCGCTTTCCACTTCGACGTGTCCGAGAGTACAGAGATCGGAACTGTGATTGGAACGGTCTTGGCCACCGATCAAGACTCCGGCGAAGATGGCCGAGTTTACTATCTTCTAGTTGGTAAGATCGGTTTCCTAGTGGGCCCGACCGTGACATTCATTCATTCAGCCCTGTGCTGTATCATAAATGCTATTTTTAACGGCCACACGTTGTGGCAACTTACAGTTCAGGATAACATTTTCGATAACGCAGCAACACAACCGAGGTGTGCTCTACCTCCGAGTTAACGTATGCGTTTCCGACCCAGTTATCCATCAAACGTTAAAAAGGAAAAAAATATTGGATGCATAAAGTGAGATGCCCTTATACGA